ACTTGCGCTAATCAGACTCCACTACGCGTAAATTCAGCCTCGATTACTCATCCAGGGATTCTTCCTATAAATACAAGACTCGAGCTACATTCAAAGGGTTCAAACACCAAACAAGCCTCCCACGGCGCAACTTATTTTTTCCTGTAATGCACTTTCAATATCTTTACTTGCTTTCCTAGGAGTAGTGTTAGGTTGTAAGGAAAATCCATTCATCAATATATCATACGACCCTTGATTTTCAAGGCGCCGGAGCACCATCCATGTTGTTCATTCACTCACCCCATATATCACACAACCGTTGCTCCCTGAGCAGCGCGCCGGAGCACCGCCCAAAACCCACCACCAACACCATCACTCAACGGCCTTGTAGTTCAGGCCGTGAACCTAACAGCCGAGACCAGTTCCTCTCTCGGCTACAATCGTTTGACTAGGAAGACAGTTCAAACAGGCGCACCACTTATCCATCCAACATTCATCAACACATCGACGCACGGTAGACCATGCTGGCACGCCTGCGCACAACCGCACCGCACCCAAAAGCAGGAAACCGCGTGTCAACGCACATCCCCTCGGCCCGGAACTCCAGGCCGTGAGATTTGCGCGGCAGACAACTTCACAATACAAAAACTATTTACAAAGTTACTAACTTGCCACTCAACGGTGACAATACGAGGAAGCCCTAAACATGGCACCACCTTCATACAAAAGCCATTCCCTGTCCACAAAATGGTTAGAACCCGCTGTTACCCTGACCCAGCTGCAGCAACAGTAGCACATTCGAAATGTTTACAGGTCCATGAATAGATCCATGTCCTTGGTCTTCTTCCTCGCTGCATGCACAAGGCTATGATCAGCCATTCCTACTCCACTCCTATTCAAGACCTCCCACACACCAGCAACATCTATTTCGCTCCAATTGTAGTTAGGTGAGACGACCGCAGCATAATCTCGGAACATCTCAAACCCATTGTTGAAACATGCAACCATTTCATCGTTAAATTCTTCAGATTCAGTGAATTTTTTGACAGCAACTTTCTTTGTTACCTCCAATTTTGACTTCAACGCGTCTAACTTTGCACTCCGACTTTTAGCTTTCATAGTTTGCTTCAGTTCTCCAGCGTATGCTTTGTTGAGCTTGTTCGTCAAGTTTCCCATTACCTGCCCATGAATATCACATTTTGTTTCCCACCAATCCGTAGCCCGAGACAAATATTGGAGGTGATGCTTCACTTCAGCTATTTTCTCTAGTGGATCATTGTTGTCAGCCTCACTTCCAGATGACGTGGGATCGTTATTGGGAGTCCCAGGTGGAGATGGGAATGGCACATGCCATTGTTGGTCTCCCGGGTAACTTACAAGCTCGTTTGGAGGGACTACGTTTGACATCTTCAAGTACTGTCCACGGAGAAGACAGCAAAAAGGAAATTCCACTATTGAATTTGACTATTGGAAGAGAGCAAATCACTAAAATTGAGTATTTGAAGACAACATTGAGGGTTTTCGAAACTCAAATACTTTTATGGTACATTTTTGTAAACGTATGAATTGGTAGTTTGTGAAATTAATGTACTCATAAATTGAGACATTTTGTACTTTTGCTAAATTAGGCAAATTGGGCAAAGAGGACAAAAGGAATAAATTGGAAATACAACAAGGGTCCCACACAACAAACAGCAAACAATGTTAAAGATTAGTAAAACCCACCTCTACACTCCCGCCAATAACTCCCGCCAATAACTCCCGCCCTGCTCACTCTCATTAACTCCTGGTCATTATTATCTCCCACTATTTAAGTGTCAACCACCTGCATCCACCAACTGCTTCCATTACATTTACTTCGTCAAACCCCGCTGCTTGCTCAGACATTTCACTCACATCACAATTACTCCCACTTTGGCCAACCTAATGGCGACACCAACCCGCAGTAAATACCCATCACCCATGGACCCGTCCCCCACACCAAACCGAACTATTGCAATTACAGAAGGAGGGGACACTGAAACAGCTGCCACATCAGCAACATAAGGCACTGAAGACTGGGTCCATGGACTGCAGCAATGTCGCGCCAATACCATATTTTGGAAAAATCTCCATGCAGACATAGTTTCAAAAATTAAGGAGGGCCAAGCTAGGTGGGGTGACATAAAATACCGTACAATTCGCTCGCGTTATGAAGCCCGGATGCATCTCCTGCAGATAAAGGCTGTCACAACTAAAATTGTAAATGCCCGTGCCACTGCAGTTATGGTATTCAAGGAATCTGACGAAATGGCTCAGCTGAAGCAAAAACAACTGGAAAGCGGTTTCGAACTATGTAGGAAGTTTGCCAAAATTGTGGATGCAGAAGGAAACTGGGACATCACTGTGGGAGGGGTCATGAATTTCATGAGTGGCGGTCGCCGCCATTGAAGGGTATGCAACTCCAAATGTGTCCACCGAAAAAAGGTTTCACTGAAAAAAGATTACTTTGGAGCCTGTCAAATGTTGTGGACACGTTCTGTACAAATGGAAAGTATGAGGTGCCCTGTTGTTGTAATCTCTAAGTATGAGGTGCCCTGTTTTTGTATTTTGTATTATGTAAGTTTGAGGTGGCCTCTTTTGTAAATATGTCTTATGTAAGTTTGAGGTGCCCTCTCTTTTAAGTTTGTATTCAGTAAGTTTGAGGTGAACTCTTGTTCAATTTTGTATTATGTCAGTTTGAGGTGAGCTCTTTTTTGTATTTTGTATTATGTAAGTTTGAGGTGGCCTCTTTTTAAAATATGTATTATGTACTGTTCAAGTGGCCTATATTTTTATTTTTATGCTCTAAGTTTGAAAACTGCAGTAGATATAATTTCGATTCATTCATTTGAGTTCCGAAGTAGAACGTAATTGCCTAACCATAGCACTTGTTTAAGTTCGGCATCCATCGGTAGATACCTTCCATATACTTTACTTTTGTACACTTGTAAAATGACATTGCCAAACGAATACGTTAGCCAGTATAAAACAGGTTATAATAGGAGTATGGGTCGGAAATAATAGACAACTGACATTGCAAAGCCAATATAAGGACAATATGAGGCCTTATAAAACCAATAAATTGACACTAGAACACCAATACATCAGTGGTTACAACCAATATACAACCAATGAAGTATGGAATGTACTGTATTTGAAAGTGTATACAATATCATATTTGTAATAAAATCAGGGTATGAAAAAAAAACATATTTCGAGTAGGCCCCGACCGTTGACAGTGGTCAACATAGAAATAATAAAAAACAGGATGCAACACCACAATTTGGATACAAAGCACAACATTAACTCCATTATTCATATTTGTGCGCCCAC